AGGAGGTAAAGAGACAAGTTCCCAAGTCTTGTTGTGTTGTAGTGCAGCCATTTCTTCCTCCATAGCACGAGCCCAACCTGGATGAGCTAAAGCTTCCTGCACACTATTGGGCACAGACACAGATGTGAGAGACGACACAAATGATGACATTTGAGGAGATAAATTATGATAAGACACAAAATGAGCAAGAGGATACCGAGATCGAGTACGGTGTGCAACAGGAGAGTCAACTGGAGGTGATGGAAGAGGATCAGAAGCCGGGGCCGGAGATAGTGGTGAGGCGTCTGCTGATGGAGAGTCATGATTCCAAGCACGGCGAGGACCACGTGTATAGACCTGTAGTGGCTGAGATGAACTTGGATTTGATGGAACAACAGTAGAAGAGACATATGGTGATTCTGCTGGAGATATAGGTAGGGGAACTAACAATGTTTGAGAAGGTGAGGAAGACGGTGCAGGACAAGAAACATTACCAAAAAATGTCCGATCCTCGAAGAAGGTAACATCAGCAGAGACGTACTCTCGACGAGAAGTAGGATTATCACAAACATAACCCTTTTGGGTACGAGAGTAACCAACGAAGACACATTTTTCAGCACGGGGAGATAATTTGTCTAGGCCAGGAGACAACTGATGGACAAAACAGACACAACCAAAAATACGAGGACGAATAGACCATAAAGTTTGATTAGGATGAAGAAGAGTAAAAGGAACAGCTCCCTTTAACACAGAAGATGGAAGACGATTAATAAGATGACATGATGTACGAATAGCATAGCTCCAGTAAGATTTAGGTACATGTGTATGAAGAAGAAGACACCGGGCAACATCGAGTAAATGACGATTCTTACGTTCAGCAACTCCATTTTGTTGTGGAGTGTGAGCGCAAGAACTCTGATGTAAAATACCACGAGATTCAAGGAAAGGAAGAAAGGTGGAAGAAGAAAAATACTCACGAGCATTATCTGTACGTAAGCATTTAACAGGATATCCATACTGAGTAGTAACTTCATTGTAAAATTGACGAAAGGAGTGAAATACCTCAGTACGATCTTTTATTAAATATAACCAAGTGGTACGAGTACAATCATCAATGAAAGTGACAAAATAACGAAAACCAAATGAAGACTCTCGACTAGGACCCCAAACATCAGAATGGACTAACTCAAATGGTTGAGAAGCACGACTCAAAACACGGGGTGAAAAAGACACACGATGATGCTTTCCCAACTGACACGTTTCACAATCAAACTTAAGACTCGATCTAGACACAAAAGGAAAATGACCAAGTGTATCTGTTGACGGATGACCCAGACGACAATGCAACCGATAAGAGTCATCCACAGCCTTCTTCTGAATAGTAGCAGTAGCAGCAACAATCACGGGGTCTAGAAGATACAATCCACCAGCCTCACGCCCACCACCTATCCGGCGTCCAGTCTTCCGATCCTGGAGGACACATGAAGATGGAGAAAAGGTGATATTGCAATCAAGATCACGAGTAATGGAACTGACAGATAACAAACTATAAGGGAATCGAGGAATATGGTAAACAAAAGGCAAAGATATGGAGGAATTCAATGACACACAACCTGTGCCAGCTACTTGAGATTTTGAACCATCTGCTAAGGTGACTGAAGTGGAAGGAGTAGAAGAAGATGAAGTAAGAAGACGCGAATCACCAGTCATATGATGAGTGGCACCTGAATCAATAATCCAAGGACTGAGTGTATCTGTAGTGGCTAAGAGACAAGTACCATCATTATGTTGTGCCAAAGTAGCAACAGGAGCTGAAGAACCACCAGGTTGTCGCGCTCTAATCAGCTCATCATATTCTGCACGAGTCAACTGCACAGTACTTTGTTCGGAAGCTGATCCAGATGAAGAAGACCGAGTCAACTGCACAGTACTTTGTTCGGAAGCTGATCCAGATGAAGAAGACCGAGGCTCTGATACCATGTAATTTGGTAAAAGAGATCTACTTTATTATTGAGATAAACCAAGTATATATAGGCTTAGGGTTAAGCCTTGATACAAAGACCTAAATACCCTTTCCTAAAATAAACCCAACTTGCTAATTATCTAATAATAAAACTAACACGTTTTGTATTTTGCAACTTGGTCAGCGCTGGGAATTACCTACTGCCGGTCTAGTATTCTTTCTGTTGCCATTTGGTCACTTTTGCCACGATCAACTCTCGCTTTAATGATATGTTCGCTAGCGAATGCTATTTTTGGTTTTGGATCTTCCAATCCAGTCCGAGGTGACGGGAGGAGACTGGCGCGGTTGTGCTACATTCGGACTTGGTTGCTTTCGACTCGAAAGCAAGTCCTCCCTCTGGAATAAGCTAATCACCTTGTTTATATGGATGAGATTAAGCTGAAGCTTATGTTTATCCTTGCTGATCACATGACTCCCCTCTTGACTTCTGAAAGTGTGCTTACTCGTTTATGCAAACAGTGTAATGCAATCTTCAGGTGCAACGGAAATAGTAGACCCGACACTCGGTATAAATGATGTTTTTGTCAAACAAAAACAAGACGGATGTCGGGACTTGGAACTGGCTTTAGAAATGTGCAAATGATGCATGCTTGTCCATAGATATCATCTCCTAGTTCAGTATAAAAGCATTCGTGTTGGCTCGACTTGGTCGCCGGAATCGAACTGGCATATGAGTTATCGTCCAGCTCAATTTTGCAGTACTTCTTCCGGCACTTGTGTGTTGATTCTATCCTATCGCTGGCCGCTTAACAAGAACAAAGAAGGGCTTATGATGAGAAGAGAACAAATAGCTCTTTTGACAGCTTGTGGTACAAAATCTAAGTACATTAGAAGGATGAATCTTGGGAAATGGGTGCAATGCGCTTGAACGATATCAAAATGCAGAAGGGTCATCACACATTTTCTTAGTCCAAGGCTGCTCAGGCAAGATGTAAACTATGAGTTTTTATGCAAATATCCATACTTTGTAACAACTTATAGCATAAAAAAGGCACTCGAAGTGTTCTATTTTTACTAAAAAATTCGTTTGTTTGAAGGTAAACTGTTTTCGGAAAATTGTTTTCTAACTTTCCGATGTTTGGATGATAGAAAACTAATCAACGTACGGAAAATATTTTTTATTGACTGAAAACAACAGACTTAGATTAGGGAAAAATGACTTCCCCTTCTGATCAGAAGGAAATTATTTTTACTAAACCACAAAACAAATGAAAATCAACCATTTTCCTTTATGAAGTTTTCAGTGAAACAAATGCACTCTAAAGTTCAACTTCTCGCATGAGTAAATGCCGATGGAAATGCGAACGCAAATCAAAAGGCGGTTATGGCAAAGATTGGACCGCCCTTGTAATCTCACACACGATACCACAAGAGCTGTCGACTCCTAGTGAAGTGACCGGGCACAAAACATAGCAGTTCAAAGTAACTAAATGTGTCCAAGCTTTAGAAAGATTAAACTCAACAAGACACTAAGGTTAAATGACCAAATGGCATAGAGCAACCACACCGGACTAGAAGCAACCCATGTTCTAAAGATTTTCATGTCCTCCCGAAGGATCGCGCATCAGTACTCCCGGACAGACGAGCCTTCCGATTATCGCAGTATCCGCATAAACGGTCATTCCGTAATAGCGAAAGCATTGCACGTGTGGCCCCAGATAAAGCCACTCAAATAAAGAAATCGAACGCCCGTTGGCATTGTGATTCTGCGAAGCAATCTACACGCCTTTCCGATTCTGGCCATATTCTCCAGCCCCCACAAGCTGAAATTATTCTTGGGATTGGCCTTTCCCGGCACTCAAAAGGAGGACAAATCGACAGTTCGGACCCCCGTCAACTACTTTTGATTCTAACACGACACCCCCTCTTTCATGATGCTGTCGTTGTCGCTTTCCAAAGATGAGAGAATCGGACAGCAAAAGTTGGTGACAGCATCAATAATGCAGGGCGGGGTTTTGCTGATCCATCGCGTTGGTTAGAATAATAGACTCTCAATCAATAAGAGGGACATTGTAGAAAGGTACATGGCGTCGAAGCCGACGTACTCGAAGATTACGGTAGCCCGAGATCTGAGAAGCTTCTCAAGGTTTGTTCACATTAGATCGAAATTCGTGGCAATGCAAGCTAAGAAACCTGGTGTACATGAACAAAGGAGCGAGCACGGACAGCTCAGTGATCTACATCAGTCCAATTATTGAAAGGCCATATAGTATAGACCCCCCCTCTCTCTCTCTCCTCAAGAAAAAAGGAAAAAGATGAGAAAAAAGGTGAGATCTTCAATGACATGGGACTAGAAGACTCGATACCCAGTTCGCCTATCATTCAATACCAACTCTGTCGCAACTGCTCTGAAAGTGGTTCGAGTGACAGAACAGACATCCAAAAAGCAGTGCACTCTTTAACATCTTGCGTGCTCTTAAAGAGGAGAAAGCGCAGAGGTACTTCTCAAGACAGCATCATTTTTCCAACATCAATGAGCGAGGCTTCGACTTCAAAATTCGATACAACCACCACCTGGACTACTATTCTCGAGGAAGAATGCTAGTCGGTGAATCTGACGGTGGCATCTCTCGGACCCACTTAGACAATACAGCTCATTCTCAGTAGATATTCAATGAATCCAACAAATACTTTTTGGCCCGAAGCAGCCAAAATCATTTGTTTACCATGCACTTCATCACTTTCAGGGCATTTTCCACCGCCCGTATTATACAGCAAAATGGCTGCTAGTGACAAGGGAACCATTTTCAAACAATTCTTGAATAAAACATGTAGTATCGCACTCTGGTCTAGGAGTATCCTTCAGCATGAACAACACTAATAACAATTAGGGTGACGGAAAACAATAGAAGAGTCACACCCTGCGAATCATCTGAAAGTGCACCCCTGCGTCATTAGGATATGTGAAAAGAAGTAGCCACTTCACCTTATTAGGTATACAAGATCAGTTATCAACGAGTCACACGTGAAACAGTATTGTAAGAGAAGGAAAAGAAAGGGAGAAGAAAAGCCAATGTAAGCATTACAGATCACAATGTCTGCTCGATCCTTACAAGCATCATAGCTTTCCTACAAGTTTTGAAAGAAGCATGAAGTTGCCAAACATGATATCATACACCTCTGTCCCGTATAACTGGGGCCAAAACTCCCATGTAACATGCTACGATAACTTCACAACAGAGAACTTGTCATTTTTTTATCATGACTCTTCATAAGCTTGGAATTCCACCTTCATCATCCTTTATTATAATTCACCTCAGCCGACTGTGCTGGCACAAGCATCCGGATTTCAAAGCCCCACGAAGAGTACACTGGTTCGTGAATTTCTAGAGTATATGTTCTTCACTACAATATTCACATAGTATAAGATTACAAGTTGAGAAGACTACAAACTCAGGAATCTAACATCATTTCTATAGTTGTTGTGCTCATTGCAAGCACATGCCTTGGGAAATTGACCGGCAGATGCATCTCAAATATCAGAGCTTAGTACAGAATTAAGAGACTTGCCCCCAAAGAAGTACTTCGCATAGACAGCACACTTTGGCTCACTTGAAGCTGCATTTGGCTGCTCCTAGCACTGACAAAATCGTGGTCTCATCCAGCCCCACCGGAAGGGTGCAAACTTGTTTTCCCTTTTAGCAATCAGCTTACCCTGAAAATAATAGGTATACCCCCACATGAAACAACATTACTTTCTTTTTCATTTAGGATAGCATGACGCTGTCAGTACATATATTCCGACCTTAAAAGGTTGGTAATGAAACAATTGAAGATGGGTAGAAGGTCATGCAATCAAATCACAGTGCAAGTGTTAGAATAATCCCCATGTCGTCTCCAAAACAAAAAAGAAATTAAGACAACATACCAAGTTCTAGTGGTAGAGAATCTACAGGTCCCAAAAACATTAAGCAGGTTGGTAGAGCTTCCTAAGGCAGTAGCTTATTTAAAAAAGGTACAGTAACTCTAGCAAAGCATTTGGACAGAAAGGTTGACATGGAAACAAGTACAGGCTGCGCAAAACAACCCCCACAAGAAGAAGAAGAAGCAGCGGCAGCTAATATGATGAACTTATAAAATTTGCACAGGAATGCCTTTTGCATTTTTCACTCGCACTTTCACATGTAAAAGTCGCTTCTCCAACTAATAGCTGAATAATGTCTCCAGAGGAAGTTTATTTTCACTGCCAAAGAGATTAACTAACTCTTTAACCATACAAGAGACAATATTCGCTTCCTACAGACCATTACACTGAAAATCATTTTCTTAGCAGTTGCAATCAAACCTTAAAAGAGTGCTTCACAATTCTAATTAGATGATTGGTAAAACTTCATAGCAAAGGAAGGTGGAATCAATGGCAGTCCACATTTGATCTTAGAAAGCAGACAAAGCTTGCTTTAGTAGTTTCTGCATCTTCTCATATTACAATCAAGACATCTTCTACCTCAATAATTTTTTCAAACAATAGTATGTGGGGAAAATCCATTGAAAGCAATTAACGCATAATTCAGGCAAAAATATTCTACAGAACACTAGTTATTACTACAATATATCATTTCCAATACCTATTGTAGCTGTAATTACAAGAGCGAATGTGATACCAAAAGATGCAGTAAAGAAAAACAGGTACCCAAGGAAGACTTTGAAATTATGGCGCGGGGAATCATGTGACCACATTAATATACAAGTACTTAGAAAGATCCACCTTAGAGAATAAAGTTTATGCTTAGAACAAGAGACAAACTTCCTTGTGGAGCTCAAAACTAGAGTTTCATACCGAAATCCATCTGAAAACATCAAAACCTACTGGAAGACTACCAAAGGTTTACTTGAGTCGAAAGGTCACATCAGAATTAAATAAGTAGAAGAGCCATCAAAGAAAGTAACTAGAGACTCGCCATCGAATATAAAATCAAGACATACAGAGGATCAGTCTGCTAGTGATGGCCCTATGGGAGAAGCCAAGACTCAATCCACACCCCAAAAGAATACCAAGCCACGAAATAGAAAAAATGAAGCAACATTCCTTGCACCTGAACAAACTAGCGAAGCCACGACAAGACTATACCAATCTAGAAACAATACTACCTCAAATTGCACGAAACTGAAAATATGAAGCAAACAAACCATCAAAGATGTACCTAGCAATCCATACAATTTACAAACTAATCCAGCAATCATTTCAATAATTAATGTACAAGCTAGTTAAGGCACGAGCAGACTATACGAATCAGCAACAGTACGTAAAGGGATAATGCATCTTCGTAACAAACAGAAAATGTGAAGCAAACAAAATATCAGAGATGTACCTGAACTTCCAGGGGGATATCAAAATGAGTTCATCTCCAAGCAGTAGGTCCTCCTTTTGACCAGCATTCTAGCCGCAGTTCCATAAGGCTCCTCAAATGCAGTCGAAATCCAGGACCCATCAGCCATGTCCTTCTTCGACCCAGACTGCTCACTAGGTCTTATGGCAACCAAAGTTGCCCCTTTCAGTACAATTCCATCGGGCAATTCCAGGTGCGGCGCATACCAGAGCCTCATATTGAGCGCAGGCACCAATGTCCTCTTCGAAGATGAAGAAGCTGATAATGGTTTCACCCTCAGCTCCTCGAGCTGCTCTCTGTTCATACACAGCACTCCTTGCCCATCACCATCCGTCAAAACCAAGCAATCGAGAGTCTTATGCTCTGCAATTATGGGCTGCAATAAGTAGTGCCTTGCAGATGCAGCAATCAAAGAGCTTATAGTCCAAACAACCCTCAATTTGAGGCCTCCATTTGTGTAGAAGGACTCGGGAATACTTCCGCTATCGTCGTTGGCGCAACCCGCATCTGTTCCATTCTCAAAACCCACGAAATTCTTGAATGGCCCAGGCCGTACAACCGAAGAAGCACCCAAAATGACGCAATTGTCAAGCGTAGACCCAAAATCCGCCCTCCACTTCAACAGAATCCCACCATCAATCCCCAACTCTCCACTCGGCAATTCAATGCGAAGGAACCGAATCTCATTGAAATTCTTCAAGACCTGAGTAGGAGAGTGGTGAGTGACGCCACCCTGGTCCATTTCGCCATCGCATTCACTCCCGACAGCGAGCGAAGACGAAGAGGAAGGGCCCGACTGGGCCCCCCTCTTCGCTCCGGAGAACAAGCCGAGCGCCTGAAGAGGCTTCACTATGTTGCCCAGGACCACGCGGAAGAAGCTCGCGAGCGGGTTCCGCCCCTTGTCGGAGAGGGCAGGGGAGGCGGACTCGTCTTCGGAGATGACGCAATCGACGCGGACGAGGACGGTGTCGACCTGGGGGACCAGGCAGCGGAACCGGCGGGACACGACGCCGCAGCGGCCGAGGGCCTTGACGTCGGCGACCCGGTTGAAGATGAGGAGGAGGAGGGAGTCCGGGAGGCGGTCGAAGTGGTCGGCCGGGACGACGGGCTCGGGGTGCACGCGGGAGGAGCTCGGATCTGACCTCAAAGACGACATCTTTCGACACGAATTCGGAGGCTGTGAAGTCGTACAGCGCTCATCCGAAGGAACCGCGAGATGGGTCGGGCTCTTTCTCGCAGCAGATCTACCACACAACGAAAGAAACACCCCCACACGCACACACACACACACGCACGCACACACACAGGGAATGCTTACAGGTGATGAAGAAGAGGAGAGAGAGAAAGAGACAGAGACAGAGACAGGGACAGGGACAGGAACTTCAGCACAGAGGAGAGAGAGAGAGAGAGGAGGAGGGGGAGGAAGATGATGCCCTGTTGTGGCTAATGCCTGTCTGGACATGGCAAAGACTTCATCTTTGTAGAGAAGAAGAAGGAGAGAGAGAGAGAGAGAGAGTGAGCTGTTTGGTCCAGTAGGGAAGGAAAGCGTGAAGTGAACCAGCAACGATTTGCAGGTTACCCCTATAGAGTTTTTTTTTCTTTTTATATTTTTACTTTTAGTCTTTATTCTATTTTATTTTTTGGTTAGTGTTTTATAATTAAAAAGGGATTTTTTTTTATAAAAAAAGCTAAAGATTGTGGAAAATAAAAAAATTGGATTTCGGAATGGTTTATCGGATCGTTAGGTGTGCGCCAACCACCCTAAACTTCGCACGGATTCTCTCGAACCCTATTGACCGTAATTTGGTGTCTTATTCGTTACGAGGTAAGTGAGATTAGACCCGCCGCTAGCTTAACTTAGGCCGGTTAGGAACCGAGTGAACTGCAGGAGCCCGCTTACTTTTGCGAACCAGCAATTTTCTTTTTTTTGGTAAAAGAGTTTAGGAACTTGGTTGTGCTAGTTTTGCCCGGCGTTTGTTATCGATACCATTTTTACTTTTCAGAAAAAAACCGTTGTTCCGTGCAATCTTTTTTTTATTTTTATTCTGAAATATATAATTCTAGATGGCCACTTAGAAGTTCGCGACAATAAAATTAACAATCAAGCAGCAATAAATAAACAAATAGAGTAAATGTAAAAATAAACTGAGCAATATCCGGCAAAATTAGTGCAATGCCTTTTCATAATGTCCCGGGATAGGATCCCTTCGAGTTATGTACAAAGATAATCATATTTAAGTTTAAAGATCCAAATTTAAATACGAAAATCACCCTCGATTTCGATTTCGAATTCGATGTAAAATGAAACGTGAATTCTATACGAAAAAACTAGCAAAAAATGATAAAACCTGGCTATTTCTATTGGTAAATTGCATGCGATTGCGAATCCTAAATTTCTTTTAAATGAATTTATTTAATTTTTTTTATGAAATGACATGGTTTAGATATGGTAAATGCTGAATCTTAATGATGGGAAAAAAAAATCCTGCCAAAAAAAATGATGGAAAAATAAAACATGCAATGAGACGTTGGAATCGACTAACCTCCACGCGGCAAAACAATATCAGAGAAAAATCGACATTTGTTCAATCTCGACTTTTCTATAACCTGCAAAATAGAGGTCAGGACCCGTCCGGATGCATGTTACCATAAGGGAGAACAATGCACGTGGTGTCTTAACTTTAATTCAATATACAATGTCGTCTCTCGATTTTTAATTTGTGCAATACGGCGCATAACTTTTTTTAATTTATTCAATGCGGTCCATGAATTATTGGTAAATATTCAATGCAGCCCTTCCATCTGCGTCATTTTTATATAGTCTATGAACTAAATTAAACATTTACCAACAATTTGGAGACTGCATTGAATAAAAAATGGGTTAATACCACGAAAAACCTTAAACTAATATACTTGTGACAAACTTACCCTAAACTAATATTTTGACCACCAAAAACTATAAATAGGTACACCCGTGATAAATTTACCACAAACTAATTTTTTTATCACAATAACCTCGAACTGATACATTTATGAAAAATTTGCCCTCCGTTAAATTGGATTAATACTACGAAAAATCACAAATTGTTACACATGTGACAAATAGATAGTAAAACCCCAAACTGGTACACCCGTTTACGTGACGTATCATCACGTCGGTGACTTCCGGCGAAAATCAACCAGAATGGCAAAACTGGAATTTCGCACAATGGTTTAGGACTAAGTTGGCGAGATTGAAAAATTTAAGACCGAATTGACATCTATACAATAAGTTTAAGACTAATTAGATAATTTCACTCTAATAGAGATGAATGGCAAAAAAGTCCAGCTTAATTTTGACCACCACGATCCAAGCACAAATAAACTAGCCACCTCCTATCTGAGAGCAAATCGCCGAGGTCACCCCGCCATAGAAGCCCCGCTCCTCAACAACTTCCGGTTCCGGCGCACTTGAGGTCGAAAGCCGGCCGGCGATCCGATCTCACACTCCGGCACCCGACCCTACAAAGTTGTCTTCCTCGACCGGGTGGGCGGCTCTCCGACGATCGTACGGACACCACGGCACCGTCAACTTTTCCGGCCATTTTTCTCGAGAAAATGTCGGGGGTTTCCATAACACGGACACATGCCTCAACGTGCCGGGGTTTCCCTCTTCGCGTTCCGCCATGAGAACGAGGGGGAAACATACATTATAAAAACACACTGCTCAGATCCAACCTCCGCTCGGATCACATGTCGCCTGATGCTCGCAGCTTTTTAAGGTTTTGAAGAAAGCTCATCAGACTGATTAAAGTTAAGTGTGTGCACATAACATGGACTTCCAATATGATAATCAATGTGGTTCTGGCATTAGGTATACGTGCTATATTAAAGGGTCCAAACTTTTTGGGCTAGTCTTCGAAAATTATGATTTTTTTTTTCGAGTAATGGCTCCGGCGATTCTTCGACTTTTGCTCGTTGTTTAATGTCGTCTTTCAGCTCTCTTTTTTTTGTGTAAGGTCATCGTTGAACCATTTAATTTCTGTCTAATATGGTCATTTTTTTGCTGAAATTTAAAGAAATTTGTTGATTTAGCTGTTAAAGTTACCGACTTGTCGTTTTTTTTTCCCATTTCGTCCTTGGATTTTATTAGTTTGTGTGATTCCACCCTTAAATTATTTTAATTTATTTATCTCTCTAACGGCCTTCACTTGAACATGGTGAGGCCGTCAAATATTCTTCAAGACAAACCTCGACAGCCCTTATTCAGGACTAGTAACTTTCGGCACAATCCCTTGACAAGACATACACACAGCACGTGTTAATGTGTCTGTAGAAGATTAATTGCGATGAATAATAAATGTGTCCGGTATTCACCAACCCATTTTACACGATTACACACGTTCAATTAAACAATTTAAAATGTTCTTTGTCTAAACATAATATGTTAAAATACATTTAGATATAATTACAAACTTTTTAGAACAAGTAAGCATTCTTGTATAGAAGAATTTATATCTTGAATGTGATGTAGCTAGCAAGGATCACCTAGAGGGGGGTGAATAGGTGATCTAAAACAATTTTTAGTAATTTATGCGGAAACAAAATAAATCACAGAAGAGTCTGAATAAAATTCAGATTCAAGACAGATTATATAGACGGTGCTCTTGATGTGCAGAATGTAAAGTAAGAGATAAGGGATAGAGAATCTGCACACAAGTTTATAGTGGTTCGGCTTATAGCAAGCCTACGTCCACTCTCCCACGCTTACAGCCTACCAGCTGGATTTCACTATGTAATCAAGAGGAATTACAACTTCTGAGTGTTAACACTCTTGTGTATGATAGGACTCTCTATCTCACACAATCACTCTTACAAAGTGTCCCTCAAGATCTTAATGTTTGGCTTAGAACGACAAGAGAAATGATTGGAGTATGCTCAGACTTTGGACTTGTTGATTCTTGATTCTGTACACCTTCTGCTGCTCGTTGATCTCCTTAAATACTCCTCTACTTCCAAAACTAGCCGTTGGACAACATTCAGAGGATCATCTTCCAATCTTCACCTTGGACAGATTTGTATAGAAAGGATTGAGTAGCCGTTGGATAACAGATTCTGAATCCCGCTGATTCTGGTCGCCCATACAATCAGAATCTTGGTTTCCATAAGTAGAGCTTTGTCCGTTGTAATGCATTCTTGTCATGATGTTTGATTGTCAATCAATTTGATTAAGATTGAGACAATCAGAACATTCCTTCTGTGAAATCCATGCCAGATCACTAGCTGTTGTGATATGTTCTGAATTCTGCGTCTGAAGAAATTCTGCGTCTGTATCAGAAGAACTTCTGCGTCTGCGTCTGAAGAATTTCTGCGTCTGAATAATTTCTTCGTCTGCATCTGCATCTGAATAACTTCTGCTTCTGCATTTGAATAACTTCTGCGTCTGAATCTCAGAACTTCGATTATGTGGGTCTTCAAAAACATACTTGACAGTTTGTAAAGTTTGAATAATTTTCTTCTGAGCTTCCAGAATATACAGACCTGGAATAAAATTGTTCAGAATAAGTATCAGATTTACAATAACATAGAAGGTTTTGTCATCTTCAAAATCAATAGGAGTTTTCCTCAACAATCTCCCCCTTTTTGATGGTGACAAAACTTTCTTTGCAGATTGAATTATTTTGAAAATAAATAAACATATTAAGCTCATTAAACACAGATTGAAAGAGTAAACTCTGTTGATATCTGTGTCTTTCTTCCTTTGAATATAACCTGTGAATCTGCATATAATTTCTCCCCCTTTTTGTCATCAACAAAAAGAATAATAATAGATAGAATAATGCACTGAGATTAAGTAATCAACCAGTCTAACAAAAAGTATGAGATATATTACAGACCAATTGAAAAAAATGTGGAGAGAAAAGTTGAAAAACAGGCTATTTTTTAGGAGTACGAATCAGTTGAAAATTTTCCAATATTGAGACAGCCTCCTCAATCTTTGAACTGCATTGACTTATGGCCTTATCCATGTTGGATGAGCACATAGTAATGGCTTCCTCTAATGCTGCTTTATCTGCTGCTGCCTGAAGTTGTTGAGCCTTGGTGTTTTTCTCAACAATGTTCTGTAGATTCTACATATGTTGTTCTAGAGCAGCTTGCTTGTCTTTAATCTCAAGCAGAATAGAAAGGATGTTCTGATTTTCGGATGGCTGACCTTGGACATTAGCTTCCTTAGACTGATTGTACCATGTTGCTGATTCTGGCGGAATCTCCCCCTGAACAGGTGATTGATCTTCAGAAACACGTTCTGCATGAATGGATTCTGAAACCTTGGGATCTGGTTCAGGAACATGTTCTGAGCCTCCTGTTGCAAAGTGTTCTGCTTCTGCTTCATCATTTTCATCATGCAGAAGAATTTTACGCTTCTTATTGTACACTTTTAGTGGGG